GATAATTGGGATGGGAGTGTCAGAGACAGTGCGATTGGCACAGGACAGAGCGGAGTTTAGGGCTGTTGTACACAGGGTCGCTATGAGTCGCAGGCGACTCCACGGCACATAACAGCAACAACAAGTAATCTGCTATATGTTGACCAGTTATTCTTCTTGAATGTTTTTCCGTTGGGTTGTAATTACCAAAATGGGCTTTTCCCTCCCCAAGGAAAAGAAAAATTAGTAATATCATTCATTAATTTATAATATCATTTAGGTATTTCCTTAGTAAGATTATGTATATAAACAAATATAATTGTGTTTTATAGTATTTTGTTGTATATATTTTCTTGTTAGTTAAGATACATAATGAAAATGCCTTACTTTCTATTACAGGACAGGAAATTCCTTATTTCCAAGGACTTCAAATCAATGTTAATTACATGCATTATCGAACTTAACATCCATTTGCCATCTCATTGAATGTTCTTTAATTTGCTTTGAAGCTCTCGGATGTAAAAGAATAATTAAGTCCTAGGTGGTGGTGTGGATGGATGGAGTGGGAAGATGGTTAGTTTTATCTCCATTTAATTTTCTCTGTTCGGAATTGTTGTAGTCATGCGTATGTGTGCATATGTGGTTTTTATTTGTTAACTTTAATAGTTACACATGCTATTGTGGTATGCGATAGAGGCAATTCCATCTCATAAAAATCTTTACATGGCTTTAGACCATAATTTTTTCCATTTTAATTACCACTTTGACTCACCAAAAATTTAAAAATTCTCTCCTGTTCTAATTTTATTTTGTTGGCCATGGTGGAACTATTTCAAGTCTGGTTTTTACTCCACTCTTCCATTTGTATTCTGGAAATGAATAACCTGGAGCTCGGGTGATGTGGTCCTTAGTGAGTTGTGCTAGTAACCCTGGGCTGAGTAGCTCTGGTGGTTCGAATCCACCAGTGGCTCTTCAGGAGAATGATGAGCACTCTCCTCCCATTGTAAATGATAAGCTTCAGAAACCCAGTGGAGAGTTTCTACAAGTCAGAACCAACTTAACAGTGGTGAATTTTTCATTTGAACGAGCATTGTCATTTGAAACAAAAGTCTTTGCATTGATTTAAAAAGGTTCATTCATGTCAAGAACAGCGTAAGTGTTGCAAAACAACCAAATCTCTTAGAATTGCAGGTTTTGACCTTAGCACAAAAACAGGCAGTAGTGCTCCACTTAAAGATGGTGGACAACTGTGTTACTTTAGCTTAGTTTCCACCCATGTGCCAAAAACATCACTACTGGTTAAAAATTCACTTTGTAATCTTACCATAAGTTTCTTTAGAGGCTTTAAAATTTCCACAATTAATTTGTTGTTGTTCTTATTGGTATGTGCTGTCAAGTTGCCTGTGACTCATAGCGACCCTATGTACAAGAGCCCTAAACCCTCTTCTATCCTGTGCCAATCTCACTGTCTCTGATACACCCCCCCCCCCCATTACCCCAGTCACTGAATCAATCCACCTCATGAAGGGTCTTCCTCTCCTGCACTGTCCCTTCACCCTCCCAAGCATGACGTCCCTCTCTAAGGACTGGTCTCTCCTTGCAACATGTCCAAAGTGTGTTAGACAAAGTTTCAGAATCTTTGCCTCCAAGAAGTAGCCTGGTTTAACCCTCTCCGGGATGAACCTGTTCGTCTTCTTAGCAACCCATGGTATATATTCAATACGCTTCTCTGACACCACAGTTCAAAGGCATCAATTCTCCTTGTATCATTCTTAGTCATTGTCCAACTCTCTGACACATAGCAAGTGATTGCAAAGACCCTGGCCTGTACCAGGCACAGCTTGCTCTCCAGAGTGACACCATTGCTCTTCAGTACTTTGGAGAGGTCTCTAACAGCAGACTTTCCCTTCAAAATAGGTCTTTTAATTTCCTGGATGCTGGTGCCAAGAGTGTTGGTTGTGGAGCTAAGCAAACTAAAGTTGTTAACAATCTATCATGATGCTGCCAATTGGCCCAGTGGTGACATGTACTTATTTGTCATCAGACAAATAATATTTTATGTTATTCTCAGCTTTTAAAAGCATCACAAGGTTTTTGCATGCCTGGGTGGTGCAGAGGGTTAAGCACTGGTCTGCTAACCAGTAGGTCTGTGGGTTGAACTCACCAGCCACTCTGAGTAAGCAGCCTGCGTACCCAACCTTGAAAATCCTGTGGGACAGTTCTGTCCTCGTGCTCTGTCCTGTAGGGTTATCATGTGTCAGAATGGCTACACAGCAGTGTGTATTGACGGGTAGTAAGGTTTCTAGCATGATATGTACATAACTGTTCCACTTGTTTGGCAATCCAGGACAGGTTTCCTTATATTTTGAAAATCTTTTAGATAGTGTCAGAACACAAAGTATTCAAATGAATTCAAGACATTCTCTTAAAAATTCTTCCAATTTAACATCCTTTCTTCTTCTTCGATAACTTAGTGAAATGTGTATGCAGCACATTTATTTTATACTAGTCCTTTTTTAAAACCTTGTCTCTTTTACTGAACTCTATGACAGTTAATGTCTGTAGGCCAGAGGGCACTAAATCAGTCACCAAAACTGTCATTTTGTTCTGACATGTGCCATTCAATTTTACTGCAATTTCTGAGCAAATAAAAACATTTAATCAGATTAGGACCATTGTCAGTGGTTACAAAGAAATCCATTGTAAATCAGTATTGTGACTTTCTAAGATCTAATATACAAAGTTTCTTACCTATAGACTTGTATATATATTTCTTTTAATTCTTTCATGTCCAGCATCAACAGATTTTTCCCACCAAGTTAAGCAAATGGAACATTCATTCCTAAAAGAGACCTACTCAATCTACTGGCAAAATTCAATTTCTTTTTTTTTATTGAGATTTTATTGTAAGTTTTTAAAGAACTTGGATTTCCATTCATTCATTGTTACACATTTTCCTCTCTCCACCCTCCACGACCCCAGTTCGCTTTTTTCTTTGAAAAAAGAGTTCTTAACATTCACTTTCAAAGAAAATATTCATTTTTTGATGACTACTCCTTTTGAAGCTAAATTTTAAGGATAGGCAAAGTATTGTATCCCTAATAGTTACTGAGCTGATTAAAGAATATTGACCAGCGGAAGTATAATTGGATTTAAATCTTACAGAATCCTGAAGATTCAATTAACTCAGACAGCCATTAACTCTAACTAATTCACTACAAGCATTGATGACTGTTTACTAAATTTCACCTTAAGGTATTCTGGAAAGCACACTCATCTCATTTAATGTTTTTTTGTTGCGTAGTCAGAACGCTTATGACATCTTTACTCTTTCTTGTCTGCTTGTTTTGCACTGTATTATATTCATCTGTGAAGTATATATATACACTTAAAAATTTTTTAGATAGGTTTTCTCTGGCTAATCTCAAACTAGAATTCAAGGGTATGATATTAACATTAAGATATATTTTATAGTCACTATATTACATTAATACCACATGCAAGCAAGATCCTGCCTGCTGAAAATTATCCAATAATGATTGGAACAGCACAAAAAATGGAGACCTGTCAAATGTGCAGGCTGGGTTTAGAAAAGGCAAGGCCACTAGGGATATTGTAGCCAATGTTTTATGGATCTTAGCTGAAAGCAGAGAGTACCAGAGGAATGTCTGTCTGTGTTTCACTGACTAACAAAGGCATTTGACTGTATGGATCACAGCAAACTGTGGCTGACTCTGAGAAGAATGGGAATCCCAGAACATTTGATTGTGTTTATGTGAAACCTATGCTTGGACGAGG